TTCGGACGCGGGCCATGTTTTGCAAGGATGACTCCGCGAAACATGACATGCCTCATCAGGAGATGGAATTTTTTCAACCACAACCGCAAGCCAACTTCTTCTAGACATGAGGGCAATTACTCTAACTTGGCAAGTGAACTTTGTGGGTCGGACCCATACTGAATGCGTCATCCAGCTATACTGCGACCCCAGGGATATCATTCAGTAGCTTATCCCTGGTTTGTAGAAAAATGGCAGGAGCGGTTATTTCTCCGAATGGCAACCGTTTGTACTTGAAATGTCCAAGATGCGTGCTGACCGTCAGTGATGTACTGCAGTTCTCGGCTACTAAAAGTTGTAAGCAAGCATCCGCTAGATCGAGCTTATCAAAACATTTACCACCGTTAAGCTTGGTGAACAAATCTTAAGTGATACGCAAAGTAAACTAGTGATTCTCCAACATAGAATTTAAGCCAGTTGAAATGTCGGCAAAAGCAAGTATTTTGCCGTTTCCTTTATTCACCACAATGATGATTGTCACTCATTCTGAGTAATCTACGGGCTCGATTATGTCTTCAGAGCGCAAGCGATTTAACTCAGACTCCATTAGTGGTTGGGTTGCGTACGGCACTGGACGTTTTGTTCGAAAACTCTTCTGGCCTCTGCTTTGAGATTCAGCTCAGATCTGGCTATCTGACAGCATCCAAAACCGAGTTGAAACCAACTTAAGTGGCGTCGCTTCACTACTACAATTAGACTGTAAAGTTCAAGGTTCGTATTCGGTAGCTGTGCATGTTGCTCGACGTAATTTCTGGCACATACTGTTAACTGACTGGTCAAATAAGTTCACCTCCTCCATCCAATCGGGACCCAGCAAATTCAATCCAGGCTGATATGTCACAAAACTGGTTGCCCAAATGTGCTGATCACGGAAACTAACCTGACGATACAACGCCCCGAGTCGTTTCAAGTTACCGCCGGGTGCGTTTCGTGCTGTGTGTTTTGTGTAGACAAGCGGTGGTCGTCCCAGAATACACCATATGTCCCGACAAATTAAGTAGATGTCCGACGCAGCATTCAGCTGCAGACTAAATTCATTATCTATGCTCTTCGACATGGTAAACTTACGACTGTTGACGACGTCCACCTTGCGAGTCACTGTCAACTTTTTGGTTTCCATGTGACATCGAAATCTCACCGGGATTCGACTCCATTTACCGCTCACTGTTGCTCGCTTCGCAAGAAAACACAACACTTTGTATCCTCGCTTACCGCAGCGATTACAACTGTGATTCCGGAAAGAGCAGCTTCGAGCAAAGTGCCATTCCCTGAAAAACCAGCATGCGCAAGTCGTTTAGAATGTGTCAAACTCACATAAACCGATTCTTTCTAAGGACTTCGACTGACCCTGCAAATGATACCCACTCTACTCGGGGTGAATGACTATTGGATCCTAGAAGCATCATGCTTCAAGTGCATCAACCTTTGTCATTTGTTCGTCACTTCCAGCAGTGTGACATCGGGATTTTGTTCAATTCTGCTCAGTACTCTTGCTCGGACATTAGCATTGTTGTTCATTTGAAGACCACACACCTAAATAAGGCACTTGTACTGAACACCTTTCACATTGTGAAGCAGAGATCGTTCACACTGACGATTCATGCGGCACCAATAAGTAACCCAACCTTCATCGTCGCGCTTGGTCATTGTTAGCCACCTGTATCGGATATTGAATAGTAAGATATGTTATTCAAATATCTGCTACAACGTAGCAACCACTTCCTCAAATGTCAAATCAGTGGGCTTCTCTGGTATGATGAAATTCATGAACTTTTCATAATCTGCCGTGCCTACTTTCAGTAGCATGAGGCGAACCCTCTTGTCCTTTGAAACACCGACTAAATCAATGCAAACAAGCCTTCCTATTTTTGGAGTCACGATTCAAATATACTACCGGCTTCGGTGTCCTAATGAAACTCAAAAAGTTGCTGGGTCAAGGTTTCTGTTGTGGGACCCCTTTCACTTGCTTCTGTTACCGAGCCTGATGCTAGTGATAAATTCTTGGTCAGGGTTCCCATCAACGTAGCCTGTACTTTCTCAAACTGCGCTTGCTGTTGCTGCAACAGAGCCTGTAATTGTTCAAAAAAGATTGATATTTTTGGGTTATCCTGACTCCGTCGCCACTGTTTTAGTGCTGCTGCTTACTTCACCTGTGAGGCGGCGACCGTCTTAGTGCTCAGTAACGCCCTTAGCCAACCGAAGGAATACAAAAGGCCAGAACTTGGTAGCGAGAGAGTATATCTACTGGATGGGTCAATTCTATTTAACCGAAACATGTTAATTTTAGAGCGTCCGGTTTTCAGCCAGTGTGCGTGAATTCCGTCCCACGGGTTTACCATATTAATATATGGATTTCATTGACGTGGGCTTGTATTTTCTGGAGGATCAATTCGCATTCGTTTCCCAAATCCGGCCAAAAGGTTTGTGGTTCTACCGCGCCTGTGCTGATGACCTTTGCATGTAACAGACACTCTATGTGCTCCGCCTACGTCTCTATTAAAATACCCGCTATGAGACTGCATGGCGATTTGCCGTGTTTTTGAAAGGGCTACACCGACTACGTGCCAGTTTCATCTGTACGATATGCTCACTTCTTATTTCCGATGCCTTTCTTAATGGGTAAATTGACGGGAACACTGGAAACTGATAGTGTGCCGTTACTTTTGGTGTCACGAGATTTTTCACACTTGTATGCTATAGGATTAGCAGGACTTTTGATCCCAATGCGAGTATCTCTCAGGATATGTTAATTTTCGTTTCAATCAGTGTTGTTCCATTGGGAGCAAGTATGTAAAGAGTGGTAGTTGTGCTTGTCCAAGGTTAAGAATACAAGCTGATTTCCGTTGTCAAATGTCTGCCAATGGCTAGGAAATACGAGGTAACAACTTCAGGTAATTCCTAAAATGATGTCTCTTTTGAGATACCATAATTGCTCAAATCTGTGGTGGCTTTTCGAATAACAATACGGTAAGAATTCAAGTAGCCGGTTCGGTACCGTGGATGTGAACTGGTTCAGCGCACAGTTAAACTCATCATCCACGAAAATATACACTTTACATTTTTCCGCATCACTAATCCTGCCACCTTATTTGATCAAACCAGTGTTTACCTGTATTCCCAAGATTACAGCCTAACAAGGCTGATGGACTTGTGGTCTTTTCACCAAATGCTTTAAAAATGTAGGCGATACACTATAGTCACCTCTGATAGAGATGTTTAGCCGAGGTTTAACTACAGCCAACGGACCCAGCGTCTAAAATTCAACCAGAGTAACATCAGCGTAAAAGAGGGAATCATGGATTTAACGGCCCATACATGCACCTCAATGTCAATTTACTTGACAAGCCGCTGTCCCCCAACATTTTCAAGATGTTCATTGCGCAGGTTCTGTTGAGAGCTCCTCAATCCATAGTCTGGCACCAGTGGGTAGATAGGGTACAACATCTCATGGGAAAAAAGATTGCTTGAATGAAGTAAGACGCCAGATGGAGGCGAACGCAAGTTGCGCCGTGATGAAACATATGCGTTCGCGAGAATTGCCAAATACAAAGTCAGACACTCAGGGAATTAACGCCACTCTTCAGCTTTCAGAGTGAACTCACGATGTACAATTGCTTGTTGTTAAAAGGAAATCGTATTTTGTTCCTTTCAACCCTACACCAAAAGTGAATAAACAGGCTTATTGAGCTGTTATGTTAGGTACAGCACTAGTAGTGCATGAAAACAGAATTACCGGGCCGGGTTGATAAGTCAACTACGACATCAAGCGTCGAGCTGTTCAGCGTACCTGTTCCATGATGCTCGAAAAGCCAAGGAACTAGGGATGCTGCCTGAGGTTCCATGTCGAGCATTGCGTAAGATGTCGTTGGACTTACCATGTGAGCAGATAAAGACGATCTAATTGACTGCTTCGAAACTGATACACTCACCGCTGTCAAGTCGGAAGCCGTCATCCCTTAGCACCAATTTTATTTGGCTAGACACGGAAAACTGGAGAAACCGGTCTCCAACAATAACCACAAATTTACAAAAGTTACTTTCCGGGCCTTTACAAGCAGGTGGGACTTTGGCATCGACAAATTAGCCCCTATCGCAACCAGTCAAACGGAAAAGCTGAAGCGGCAGTCAAACAAAACAAGCGGCGCTGCGAGAATTATCACTAAACGAGGAAGTGCAGGTTTAACCGATATAGGTTGTCCACGAGAGATAGAAAAATCTTGAAGTCACCGCTAAATTTGGAGAAAGATCTTATAAAATCAATAGTGGTGGGAAGATAATTCGAATAGACTCAGTTCACCTGAGGCTTCTCTATGAATGAGTAGGTGCAGCCAAAATGTAAGGTGCAGCAAACGCAACACGGAGCAGCAGAGCATACGGAGCTTTCCTCAACACTGATATGGTTGCTACTTAAAATTGAAGGATGTGACCAGAGTATACATTTAGATGGACCAGGCTGATTTACGTGACGGCGCAAGCGATTGGATCAATGCAAACGAACGGAGCAGATGATAGGAAGTCTAGCATCTACGTCTCTAAACCGATTAGGTACTATGTGGTTTCGCTGAAGTGAGTTTGTTTGACTGAAGCGAAAGAAGAAGCACATAAATGCATAGGCACCGTTAGTTATGGAAGCAGCCCATTTATATACATTTTGGCTGGTCATGCTATCATGTTAACTCTGACTGCTATTTCGAATGGACATTTGAATTCTGAAGGACAGATTTCTGTGAGACCATTATATTATTCAAATCCAACTCAGAGTTCACCGTTAACACAGCTATAGGGCACGGTGTTATTACGCTAGGAATAACAAATATACAAATCACTGACTGGTTGTTTGACTCTTAACTGAGTAGCAGTTCGTTTAGTTCGAACACGTTGAATTCTACCAGTTGTAAATTATCTGAATCTCCCAGGCTACACTCTGCATTTTCTCGGTTCTTGCCTCTTCCCGCTTACAGAATGTTCCTACGGAATCCAAGCCTCATGAATTTGTACAAACCACTGCAATCCTCAACGCTGCCACAAGCGATGAATTCCACCTACGTTCGGCGGCTTGCGGTGAAATATGTCGACAGTATATTGGAGCTTGTGCGCAATTATAATAGTCCGAAGGAGTTGCAGAAGTCCATACTAATTCTGAGTGATATACACAGACATCGTGGCATTACAGTGGCGCATTTTATGGTGAGTCATTCGGTTCAAAGTGAAGCATATATTCAGTGGTTCGGCACAGCACTAATATTTGATTGATTTTAATATGAGGTTACTGATCGATGAATCTTTTATCTTGTTAACCTTGTAGTTAGGATCAGTCGCACAACATGTAGTATG